TGCACCCCTAACATCAATCACTATAGCCAATCTTTCTACATTTAATTTTTAAATACCTTAACTGAATATTTGTTCTATTCAGTATTGAATAACAGAATAACCAATTTGGAAGGGACCTTGGAGGTCTTCTAGTCCAACGCTATACCATTTCAGACAAATGATTATCGGTATTTTTTGAGCACCATGTGGATTGTCATGCATGCATTACTTCAATCATATGTCATTATTATCCCATTTGAACAACCAACCTTCAACTCCATATTTGGGTAATAAACTCCAAAATTCAAACCTTTACACACTATCATATTTTTTCTATATGAATAAACTTGTTTATCTAATTTGGATTCATAGACAAAGTGTGCTGGAACAATAAAGATTCTTTCAATTTCCAAGTGTGGATTCATATATATTTTGAAATGCCTCTTAACATCAATACTTGCACCCCAGTCTTAGCCTTTACCATTTATTAACACACTCATGTGTTTGTCATTCCTTCAATCATTAATATTAAACTAGACATTTCAATTACAACATTTGGTATGTTATTGTAAATTTCCTAGCATTCCTTCACTTCAGTTACATTCCTAGATCTTTTCTTTTACAATCTAAAACCTCATGTCCACAGTCAAAACAGTAATTCCAATTTATAAAAACAGTAGAGCTTGCCTAATCTTTCCAAACCAGGGGTGCGTTCCAGCAGGCACTACTGCCAGTTCGCTTGTGGGGCGCTGTGCACCCATGCACACTTGATACACAGTACAATAAAAATTGTTCTGCTCAAAAGCAAAAAACAAGATGGCGTCACCTATGGCGCCGCCAGGAGAACCAGTTTGGGGGCATGGCAGGCCTGGGTCGTTGCCAGTTCCAGCGACCCAGGCCGCCAAACCACTACCGGTTTGGCCAAACCAGTCCAAACCAGTAGGAACTCACCATTCTTCCAAACACCATTGAGAACAGCCATGTGTGAAAATCCAATGGAGTCTGGATTTCTTGAGGGATGCTGTTCCACAAGGCAGGTGCTGCCATAGAGAAATCATGATTCCTGGGTTCAATAAGATGCAGTTGTTTGATAGAAGGGATCTGGATCATGCTCTCATACTAGACTTGATGGATGATAGAAGACAGCCAGACCCACAAATAATCTGGCTGTTATTCCATGTATGGTTTTATAGGTAACAACCAGCATTTTGAATTGCACTTTGGCTTCTTGCAGAGAAATATGGGTGTAATGAGAAATGCCAAAAGCTGTCCCTACCAGTGCATTCTGGACCAACTGCAGCTTCCAAGTGCTTTTCAAGTACTATTGCATGTAGAATTAATCTACTGGGAGGTGACTAAGGCACGATTGCTTGAGTCAACAATCTACGTACTTAGCTTATGTGACTGATAGTTTGTCTCCCATTTCCTGCTGTTTAGGCCCTATCCACATATTCTTTCTACGCCAGCAGCTCAAACAATGTCTGCCTATGCCAGTCAGACCCAGTATTCAGGAATGCAGCAACCAGCAGTGTATACAGCCTACTCACAGACTGGGCAACCTTACAGCTTACCTGCTTACGGTATTTAACTTCCAGTTATTCTTTACTTACTTATGAATATGTTTGGCATCATGGAATTTCATTGTTTCCCCTACCCTTACTTCCATTGGTAACAATCAGTGGAACATTAATTTCTTACACAGATTTGGGTGTAATGTTGCCGGGCATCAAGACAGAAAGTGGACTTTCACAAACACAATCACCATTGCAGACTGGATGCCTTAGTTACAGCCCAGGGTTCTCCACACCACAGCCAGGCCAAGCTCCATATTCATACCAAATGCCAGGTGAATAATTCCTTGTTGTTTTTGAATTTTCTTAAGATTCATACATTTTTTACATAATTGGTAAGTGTTGTGAATGAAATTTATTACCTGTCCAAGTCTTTCATTTATTTTTTTTAAAGAAAAGTATAATGATCTGAAATTTAAGTTAGAAAATTTGGTTGTTAGTTTTACACATTTAATGTAACTTATTTAAAATTTATGGAAGAGTTATTTACCAAAATTATTACAAATGATCAAAAATATTATTCATTGTTGGTAATAAATCATACTATTAATATGAAAAGATTGATAATGGGAATAATAATGGCAACAATCATAACTAAAGCCTACATGAAATATCTTTTGAGAATCCAAATCTCGAGCATATCTCTGTATACTATGTGCACCTTTTAAATTTCTTGCTCTGAAATACCATGCACAAAATTACTATTTTTAATATTTATGACACTTTTATATTTATGTACTGTTGAATCCTGATAAAAAGTTTTTAAATTTAAACTCTATTCAGTTCCCAAAACTTTCAATAATAAAATGCTTGTAGATCCAGAGGTATTTGGTAGGGGATGGCAGGTGATAAAATGCATATCACAAGGCAAGCAGCACTTGTTATATGACACAAGCATTAAAGCACAGACTTTATGTTATGATATCATGATGCATATTCTGTTATTTTGGTTTAGTAGTTGAGAATAGAACCGTGAATAGCATGAACATGTCTCCACATTAGAACAGAACACTGTTTTTAACAGAATCAACAAGGATAAGCAACTTTTTGGTGGTTGAAGATGGTACCTAACATGGCGGGAGGCTTATTGAGGCTGTAAAATGAGCAAAACCACATTACATTAAATATTTGTTCACTCAATTTATATAGTCTGTGAACTCATTTTTATGTGTAATAGACAGTAAAAATACAGAGCAGCCAGGCATGATTAGTCATACATACAACCAGGAGATGAGCTCTAACCCACACCCACCCAGTTCAACACCAGGTCTTCACAATCTTGTGAAAGGCCAACAACGATGAGGCACTCTAATTTCAGGGGGAATTAAGCTGAAAATCCTCTTCTGGACCCTGCCATCTGACACCCTACAGATGATGTTATCCAGAGCATTACTTTCTTGCCCAAAATCAAATAGGAGTGGTAGAAATAACTTGGGAAAGATAGTCCCATAAGTAACCCAGTCTTATGCCATGAAGAACATGAAAGAAAGCCAATGTACTCATGGGGCAGGGGTTCACATGTGCTGAGTAACTGGCATTAATGACTACCGCTGCCAGCATATTTTACACCAGTTGAAGCTTCCAGGGACAACCCTATGCAAATTGCATTGCAGTAATCCAAGTTGCATGTCACAAAGACTGCAAGACTGAGTTTAGAGAAGATTGTCCTGAGTTTTCTTTGTTGCTTTTTAATGGCGATATGCCTGGAACATAATACAATTTTCAAAAAACCCATAGTTTAAAGCAACTTTGAGGAGAGAGATTTAAAAAAACAATAAAATGAGATTCTGCACAACCCAAGACAGCAGGCTTCTCAGCCTTAGCTGTTAGATATTTGAAGAGATCTTTTTGCTGTCCTCACCATGATTCTACTCCTTAACTATTTATGTTGAGAACATTGGAGAGATATGAATTATTCTCTGTTTGATATAGATATGGCCATCTTAAATCTGGTCATTTCATGGACTAGAAGTTCTCTTAAACCTTGAAACTACATTAAACATCCTGTCCCTCCAAACCATTATCAATATATTTTTCTAGTACTTTACAATAGCTGTATTAAAGAAAGCGAAAGTTTGGTGTTCAAGAAAGAAAAGTTTTGAAACGGAGTAAATTTGCTGATACATAAATGTCTATTTTCAGTGTTTATATGAAGCAAACTGTTATGAAAGATGGATATATGGAAACAATTACAAACATTATTGACAGCTTGTTCAATTTTTAAACTTCCTGTTCTTTACAACAGTACTACACTAAGCTATAGTTAAGCATATTTTAAAAAGTTCAAGTGAGATAAATGCATATTTTAATTACATACTTTTAATTTTCATCTGAAAATTTCATTTCTTATTTGTATGAATTTTGAATTTTGCATTGCTTAGCTCTTATAGGGAATTATTCTTTTAACTCTAGGTTCTAGTTTTACACCATCCTCCACTATTTATGCAAACAATTCAGTATCAAATTCTACAAACTTCAATAGTTCACAACAGGTATGATTTTTTTTGTCTATAAAGCGCAAACTATTATGAATTTATTTGGCAATTTATTTGGACAATACTGTTGTCCTATTTCTATTTTTAGGTTACAAAAAAGATGTAATTTTAAAGGTATTAGTCTTAATTAAAATGTTGTTTGTAACATTCTAGGATTATCCATCATATGCAGCTTTCAGCCAAAATCAATATCCACAGTATTATTCAGCATCAACATATGGAACATATATGACATCAAATAACACCACAGATGGTACCTCTTCATCCTCATCAACATATCAGCTTCAAGAATCTCTTCCAGGTCTTACTACCCAACCAGGTACCTTTCATTGATTTTTGTTCCAATCATTTAGAATCATGGCATAGGTTCATGTGAACATTAATTGTAGCTAAGTATAGCTAAATGTATGAAAACAAATTTCATTTGTATAAATTTGACATCCAAGGAGTCAAATCTTATCCAGTCTTAATCAGCAAAAATCCATTAAGCATTAGTAAAGAATCAATCCTTTAATTCGACTATCCCTAACAAGATATCAAAAGCTTCGGGATTAAGTTTTTGCAAACAATGAAAGAAAGAAAACTGCATCAATCATCCTCACCAAAGGACTTGCCTAGGTGACAAGTCATATTTAGAGGGTCCTTCAAAATGCCAGAAGGGTGGGAATTAGTGAATTATTGGGGAAATTGCACAATCTCATGTAGAATACATTAAAGTAGTTAAGCCATGAGGTGATCAGAGCTTGAGTGGCTATTTGAAATGTTCCTCCCCCACCACCCAATCCATGACAGCTCAAATGAAGCAGGACAAAGGCCTTCCTGAATACAGCTGTTTATCAAGCAAGAGCCATGAGTTCAGAAAACCCCTGTTGTGGCCTGCCAACTACCAGCCTCTATAGCAGCCAAATCAGATGAGGAGGTAGCATGGGAGTCAGGGCATCAAGGCAACCTGAGAGCTCCAAGGGCAAAGTGGGAATAGAGCTGTCAGAGATAGAGACAGACCCTGGGCCATCCATCAGCCCTGAGATGAAGAGTCAACAGTCCCCAGGTCTAGAGGTGGCTGATGAGTAAGAGGAGGAACAGCTGGGTCCAGTGCCTGGTGCACAGATGCGCAGAAGGCAGAGAAGAGGAGAGCAGTGGAAATCTATGGGCCAATCCTTGGGATGGAAGATCCAAAGCTGCTAGTGAAGCCGGACCCTAGCTCTGGGGATAAAAGTCAGGGGGTGGAGCTGAATAGGTGTGACAGACAAATTCATCTCCCTACTGAACAGACTTGTTAGCCTGCTGTGTGTGAGAGAGAGGTTTTTTTTTTTGCCGGGGCTGCTGTCACTCGTAATAAAGGGAACATTTGTTTAACTACAGAGGGATTGTTGTGTTTGGGAGCTGGGTCAGAATAATCCCCAAAATGTACATTACCATTGAATAGAAGTGCCACTCCATTCAATTTGAAAGGTGGAATATCTTCAGATCTGGACAGTATTAACACCCCCAGTCATTCCGTTTGGAAAATAACTTCTGACTTAATATTATCAAAGATTTGCATCCAGCAATGTACCATGTAAACTATTTTGCAACTGCTGCTACTCATAACTCAAATGTATTTTACCTGCTAGTTTCCAGATCTTCTGTTAATAGAGTATAAAGCTTGCAGAAGATAGCACCACCTGGGGAAGAACTCATCAAATAGGGTACAAAGTCAGGGTATCTTAATCTGCAATCTGTGCTTCAGAAAAGTGTTAATTCTGAACTGCCTCCATTCTCACTGTCTTAGACTATAAAGTTAAAAAATAAGGTTACTCATAGATAGAAATTATTTACTATGTTGTGGTAAACATTTTATATTTCTGCACAGTAGAGTGTTATGTTTCATTAATATCCGTAACACTAAAAACTTTATTGGTGGCCTTCACATCTGCTCTTAGAGTTTCAGAGATGGGAGTTCCTTTGGTAAAGAAGTATTTGGGCATGTTCCATTTAGTGCTTGACCTTTATGAAGTAGGTATTGCATAATATTTGAAAGACGGAGTGTTAAAGGACCTCTATCCTGGAACAGAACTTTTCCATCCCATAGTATAGAAAATAGATTGATTTATTTAAATTTGCTTCTAATTTTAAAAATAGTCTGCTCAGATAGAATTATCTGAAAGATTATACAGCAAGATTACACTCCTCGGATATGCTTTTAACACTTGCCTTTATATTTGTTTATTCAATCTTTGTAATTTGGCAAATACTTGTAGTTAAAGAAGGTGAGGAATTTCAATAAACAGATTATTTTCATTCCTCTTGAATAATTAGGAATTTAAGGGAATCCCAATTGTACATTTAAAACTATAGGAGTACCTTATTTAAACTATAAAATTGAATGAGGAATACTTTGTATTTTGATAAATGTTTATTTATCTTTTTTTTAAAAACAGGAGAGTTTGATGCTGTGCAGAGCCCTTCAACTCCAATCAAAGATCTTGATGAAAGAACGTGTAGGAGTTCTGGGTCAAAATCAAGGGGCAGAGGGAGAAAAAATAACCCATCTCCTCCTCCTGATAGTGACTTGGAGGTACATTCTTCTAAATTAATAGCAATATGAAGATCAGGAAGTAATTCATACTTCAGAGATATAAAAGAAGACATATTAATAGAAAAATCTGTTCACTCAAAATTATAGTAAGTATGTAAGTATTTAATTTTGAGTGAATAGCATTTTTAAAGGAAATTACTTTAAAGGGAATTACTTTACGTTATGCCTACTCTTGGAATGTAACTGAAGTGTGAGAAGCCAGGGAATCTACAGATCACTATCTCAAGCTTGGAACTCTCTACTTCAAGCTTGAAATATTTTAAGAACTTCAAATGTCCATAAATTCCCTGACAGATTCTTCCCCTTTCAAACAATTATTAAAGTTTAAATATCTTTTATTGGAATAAAAACTGATAGAAAACTTTTTTCTTCCTGGTGCTAAAAGATAACAGGCAAATCACAAAGTATATTTGTATGGGACATCATTAAGGAGTTTGTGTATGTATACATGCATCATATCACAGAATAGTATATTTGATCATTTGTTAAAAAACATAATTGCCCTCATTAATATGATCATAAAAGTTGACCATAAATGAAGATGTTCTGTTATAAAAATTAAAATTACTATTTGATATTTCTACCTACCAAAGCTCTTTGAAAGAGGGACACAAAGAAGAAAATTGGAGCATATATATTTAATCTCTATTTTTGCTTGAACATTCAAATATAAAAAAGCAGCAAGAGGGCTGGGCAGTGCTTTGGAGTCAAAAATATGTTTTGTAGTGTAGTCCAATATTTATTTATGACCTATCTGCAGCTCCTTAAAGCACCTGCAACTTTCTCTGGAACTATACAGCTGCCTTTTCTTTAAGCAATGTCTTTCTTGATTTGAAGTATTGAATCATAACAACCTTCCCCCCCCCACCCCACCACAAAGACTGGGGCTACAGCTGCCTATAGTTCTTGTGCTATCTGTATATATTGATTTGTTGATTCTTTTGTTTTCAGCGTATATTTGTTTGGGATTTGGATGAAACTATCATTGTCTTCCATTCGCTTCTTACAGGATCTTATGCACAGAAATATGGAAAGGTATGAGAGAAATACTAGTGCTTTGGTGGAACTAATTATTGTGCAGTACAATAATTTATTTGTTAAGTTTAAAGACCTTGAGTCATCCCCATAATATTTAGTAGTATTTCTGGTACATAAATAAAATTTTGTTTTAATAGTCCTAGATTTGACAGATTTTTTCTTCTTCAGACTTTACTCTAGGATTCACTGTTTTATTGCAAATGATACTATTTAGATTAATTACATAAAAGTCAAGTAATATAACTTCACATGAATGATATACAATGATTTTAATGGACACCCTGCCCTATACCCCCACTCCTAGTCCATTAAATGCAGGATTGCTTTAACTGGATACTTAGTAACACTTTGTTCCATTGTTCTTGTAACTTTTCAAGGCTTTACTGCTTTTTGACTAAAATCAGCTTCCTTTATTTTACTAGCATTTAGCTGTCAGTCTAAACACTGCTATTGAAATATTTTGTGATTGATTAAGAAAATACTCAACCACTATGTAACTATTGCTTTTAATAACAAGTTACAGTAAAATAATCAGCAGTCTAAAAACATATGTTTAATAAGAGGAAGGAAGGATTCCAAACACTTTCCAAATAGCCCAATGCATCCATAACTCGACAAAAACTTAAGTTAGATTGTAGGTAAGCAATTTAGGAAGAGTCAGTATAATAAAAAGGGAATATTAACTTACATGAAAAGTGCCATTTTCTGCTTAGGTACAAAATATATCAAATATTATTATTGTTTTATTTAATATTTCCCACAAAACAATTTTGAAATCAAATTGGTACCAAATTCTCCTTAAAAAAATCTTCTGCTTCTGTTGAGCTAAACAAGTTTTGATTCTCTTCTGATGTCATTGCCTAACTAAATAAATTTTGGCATAGCTTTTAACATAGCTCAGGCTTCCTTCTCATCCTCCTGAGAACTTTGAGTATTTGTCTCCTAAGGGACATTCTAGTAGAGATGGCCCAATCTAGCACAGAAGTCAACAGACAGACTGTCTGGCTCCAATTTATGCCAACTGCTAATGCAGCCAAAGGCATTTGTATCTTGATATAGGGAAGTGTTATAGTTGATCTTACCTCCGTGCAATGTTGGCAATCTCTGGATAAGGCCATATTCCCATGAGCCTGAGAGGGCTTTCCCTTATATCTATAGCATCAATACCTACAAGGAAAAAAATGTTTAAACATTATTAAAGTCAAAGGAGATTAACACA